GAAACTCAACCCTGCCAACACCTTCATTTTAGCCCAGTGAGACCCATTTCAGACCTCTGACCTCAAGAACTGTAAGATACTATAATTTGTGTTGTTTTAAGTCACCAAGTTTGTTGTAATTACAAGCAGCAACAGGAAATTCATACACTCACCAGCGCTCTTAGGAAAATGACCAATCTGCTTAGCACGGTGCACAAGGAGGCCTTCTGCGATGTGGTTTCTGCCACTGACTTTGAGCAAGTTTCTTAACTTCTCTGGGCTTCAGTTTCATCATCTATAAAGTAGAGAGGAAAAAAACCCTCTGTAGGTCTGTAGTAAGATTATGATGAGAGGACATATTTCAAATACCTAGCAGAGAGACTAGAATACAGTACATTATTATTATTGCTACCACTGTCACTACTATTATCAGGGAGCAATTGACAGACTAGGAACCCTTGTCTCTACTCCCCTCCCTAGGGCTATGTTTCACATCTGTGAAAAACGAAACAAGACCAAGCGGGTTTGGCAGCCTCGTCTCTCGCCTCTTCTCCACTCTTTCCTAGTTACTCACCTGTGTCATGCTTTGCTGTCTGTGACTTCCAGCTTTGCATATGCTGTTCCCTCTGCCTGGAATGCTCTTCCCATCCTCCTTACCAAGCTAACTCCCATTTCCTCCTGGAAGTCTTTACTGACCCCTATTAGACTTGCTTAGATCCCACTAGTACGTATTCTCAAAGCATGCTAAACTTCCTCTATCATATTATTGCTATGGCCTGTGTGTTTTTCATTTGGAAAAAAATCTTAAACCCAGGTAGGATACTTTGACCTATTTGCTTCAATTGTGTTGTTTAAATAAAACAAAAATATTCTCAATAAACTTGAAGTAGTTAAGTTCCTCTCTCCCCACTTCCTTCACTTCTCTCCCCAGAGGCAACCACTATCATGAATTTGGTGCATATCTTTGACAGGTGGGGATACTCACCACTATACTCATGAGGATGGGCTATGGTACTTATCTTTTGAGTCTGTGCTTTTAAACTCTTACTACCTATATATCTAAAAGAATATGAAATAGACTTTTAAATGTGTTTATAATTAACACAAATTGTAACCTTTAAAAAACATTTCTCATTTTACAGCTTTCTTTTATTCACTCAACAATAGATTTTGGGGATATTTACATATTGATATAGCTCTGGATCATTCTTATCACTGTATCGTATTTCATTATCAGAATATATTGGCTGGGTATGATGGCTCACACCTGTAATCTCAGCACTTTGGAAAGCTGAGGGAGGTGAATTGCCTGAGGTCACGAGTTCGAGACCAGCTTGGCCAACACGGTGAAATCCTGTCTCTGCTAGAAATACAAATATTAGCTGGGTGTGGTGGTGGGTGCCTGTAATTCTAGCTACTCAGGAGGCTGAGGCAGGAGAATCACTTGAACTCGGGATGCGGAGGTTGCAGTTAGCAGAGATCGTGCATTGCACTCCAGCCTGGGTGACAAGAACAAAATTTTGTCTCAAAAACAAACAAACAAAAACGGAATATATCCCATTTTATTCATCCATCACCCTACTAGTGGACATTTAGATTATTTCAAGCTGGGCGTGGTGGCTCATGCCTGTAATCCCAACACTTTGGGAGGCCGAGGCGGGCAGATCATGAGGTCAGGAGATTGAGACCATCCTGGCCAACATGTTGAAACCTCGTCTCTACTAAAAATACAAAAATTAGCTGGGCGTGGTGGCTCATGCCTGTAATCCCAACACTTTGGGAGGCCGAGGCGGGCAGATCATGAGGTCAGGAGATTGAGACCATCCTGGCCAACATGTTGAAACCTCGTCTCTACTAAAAATACAAAAATTAGCTGGGCATGGTGGCGTGTGCCCGTAATCCTAGCTACGGAGGAAGCTGAGGCAGGAGGGTCGCTTGAACCAGGGAGTTGGAGGTTGCAGTGAGCCAAGATTGCGCTACTGCACTCCAGCCTAGCAACAGAGTGAAACTGTGTCAAAAATAATAATAATAATTAATAAATGGATTATTTCTAATATTTTCTGCTGTTATAAAGAACGTTGCAAACAACATCCTTATACATATGACCTCTGTAGTGGTGTAAAAATTTCTTTAGGAAGGTTGTCACCTTGCACATTAACTACAAGATGAAAGGTAACCCATGGAGATATGGGCCTACAGGAATTGTCTAATAGTGGAATCTCTGGGTTCTAAGGTGTGTGCATTTTCAACTTTATGAGACATTGCCAAATTGCCTTCCAAGGTATGAATAGCATGTAAAGGCTCTTGTTTCCCAACATCTTCACTAACATCCGACCTCATGAAAAACATTGACATATTTTATTTTTGTATAGTTAATGTATTTCAACTCATACAATTATTTTAATTTACATTTCTCAATTGGCTTACTGGCCATTTGAGTTTCTTCTGCTGTAAATTCCCTATTCATATCTTTGCCCATTTTTCTTTTCTTTTGTAGGGGTGAGGGTGGGGTGTCTTTTCCTTAATGGTTTGAAGGAGTTCCTTGAGCACCAATCCTTTGTTATATGTGTTGTAGATGTTTCCTCCCAGTCTGTAGCTTGTCTTTTAATAAGATTTACCACGTCTTTTGTCACATGGCAGTTTAAATTTTGAGGTAGTCACAGATCACCTTTTTCCTTTATGAGTAGTGCTTTATTATCATTTATCTAAGAAGTCCTTTCCCACCCTGAGAAAATAAATATAACACGTATATGTTTTAAATATTTGTTGTATTTATTCTTTAATCCACTGAATTAGGCATCTATTTTTCAACCCTAGGGAAAGTAAATTTCTCAGTGCCATTTACTGAGTTCTCTATTTTTTTCCCAATGATTTATAATGCCATCTCTATTGTACATCAAGTACACACACACGCGCGCGCGCACACACACACACACACACACACACACACACACACACACTCCTATGTCTGTTTTGAAGTTCTATTCCTCATTGAGTTGGTAGACAGAGAAGTGTCTCCTTTCCCCAACACATGCACATTTTTCTTTTGGTTTTGACAAGATTCCTCAAAACTCCTGATTGGATTGGGGAAAATACACATCTTTCTGATATTGAGCCTTCCCATCCATGAACACGGTATATCATTCCATTTATTCAGGCCTTATTTGATGCCATTTAAAAATATTTTATAATTTTCTCTATGAGACTATAAACTCCATTAGGGCAGATGCTTTGTTGGTTTTCTTCTCTGCTGTATCTTCAGAGTCAAGGACAGAGCAGGACACAGAATAGATGTTTCATAAGAATTTGTTATTTAATGTCTTTCATATACTTTATTAGATCCGCTTCTACATATCTTATATTTATGTTGCTATATATTTTTATTGTAGTTTCCAATCAGCTATGGTTGGTATATGGAAATTCAAATGTTATTTTTGGGTTGATTTTTTTAAAACCCTTTATTTGTTCTAATACTCTGTAGATTCTCTCGGATTTTTAAATGCAGACAGTTCTAATGGACATCTATTTCAGAAGAAGGGAAGAATGGGTATTGCGTAGGCACCTGGCAGCATCTTTCACACTGCTACTATATGAAGCTAGAAGAGGCAGGTACTCTAGCCCTGGCAGCTAAAGCAGCTCGTGGACTTTAAATCTGAAGCTAATGGTCCAACAAAGAAGGTGTCTGTTGAGTGAGTATTCATTTGGCCAATTCTGGCACTAGTAGTGGTTTCTATTGAGCAGAGGTTCTAGTACCAGCAAGAGCATCCAGTGCGGTTTGCAGAAGTTAGACCAGTAGTGGTGTCTGATGACCAGTAGTGGTGTCTGATGCCCAGTAATAATCAGAAATGGCACCCCAAACAAAGTTTCTGCAAACTCTGATTTTGACCATAATTTTGGTGATTTAGACTCCCTGAATTCCTTCCCCACTTTTTGATTCTGATTTCCAACAACTCTGTGACTCATTCAATATCCTACTAATTAATTCCATTTCTATTTCAGTTAATCAAAGATAGTTTTTTTTTTGGTAACCAAGAACTCTGAACAATTCAACTCTCATGCTATCTGCAAATAACTTTGTCTCTTTCTTACATATATATATCTTATATATATTATCTATAGATCTAATACGTTCTATGCTTATAAAATGAAATGCATAGATCTTCAGTTTTCAGTTTAGTCAGTTTTGACAAATGGATATACTCATGTAACTCACATCTTTATTAAGAGATGGAAATCTCCATCACTCCAGAAAGTTCTTTCATGTCCTTCCCAGTCAACCCAACGTTAGTACTTTTAAAACTATAGTGAGCTGACCAGGCACGCTGGCTCACGCCTGTAATCCCAGCACTTTTGGAGGCTGAGGTGGTTGGATACGAGGTCAGGAGTTCGAGACCATCCTGGCCAACATGGTGAAACTCTGTCTCTACTAAAAATACAAAAATTAGCTGGGTGTGGTGGCATGCACCTGTAATCCCAGCTACTCGGGAGGCTGAGGCAGGAGGATCACTTGAGCCCAGGAGGCAGAGGTTGCAGTAAGCCAAGATTGCGCCACTGCACTCTAGCCTAGGCGACACAGCGAGACTCCGTCTGAAAACAAAACAAAAGAAAAACCCAAAAAAACCAAACCCTACAATGACCTATCATTGTATCATTAAAATTAAAAAGTTGGACAACACCAAATCTTGAGGCTATGGACCTTAACAATTAGAAAGCGACTAGGATAGTAGAGGTGACTGACCAACTGACCAGGTGATGTAGTGAGGTAACTTCCTTAAGTACGGAAACTCAGTACCATTGCATTTACCAAAAGCTGACAACTTTTCAGACGCAGCTCTATTAGTTTATGAAAAGTGCAGTTGGAGGCCTCTGAACGAATTGCCCCGGGGTTGCGGAGGGGCGGGGCTGGGAGAGAAAAGTTGAGGAAGTCGAGGGACCTGAGCATCCAGGACACCCCACAGCCTCCAGAGGCTCGGGTGGACTGGAGTCTGCGCACTCCGCCGAGAGCGTGCCCTTGGCTGATCCAATCAGAGCGGTGGATCCACCCTCTGCGCCTTGGCAACGGGACGCACAAGCAAGCTCGGCGCGAGGTGGCGGTTTGAATCTGGCCCCCGGCGAATCGCGTTATGTCGCGACCGAAGGTAGGAGTCGACCTGACCCAGATGCTTTTATCGTCCCTAGAAAAAGGGAGGAAAGCCGCAGAGGGATTCAAAATCGGTTGGGGATGGTTTTTCTCGCGGAATGGGTGGAGGGGAGCGGCGGAGGGCGGGGAAGTTTTTCTCGCGGAGGAATTCCGGAAAGAGGAAGAAAAAAATCCGCCGAACTCAGAGGAAAGACTGCAAGTCCCGGCATGCACCGCGCCGCCCAAGCTGCAGCGCACCTCCCGAGAGCCCGGCCTGCTGGCGGGAAATTTACATAGCAGTGAAGTTCTAAGCTCGGTGAACCTGGGGAAGCTGAACCTCAGAATTTCAGATCTGCTGACTTGGCGAAGGCCGTCTGCCCGTCCATCCGTCCATCCATCCATCCATCCATCCATTCATTCATTTATCCTCCATCCATTCATTCGTTTATCCATCCATGCAAAACAACGCTAATTAGTGTCTTTTCCAAGCCAAGCTCAGTGCTGACCAAGGGACACAGGTGAATCAGACAAACTCCTGCCCTCTAAGAGAGCACAGACCAACTCCCTCATTTTAAGAATGGGAAAAATGAAAGTCGAAGAGGGAAATGAATTACTGTAAAGTCCAGCTCTCCCCACCCCAACCTACTTCCTCTTCTTTTTTTTTTTTTGTTTTTTGTTTTTTGAGAGGGAGGCTTACTCTGTCGCCAGGCTGGAGTGCAGTGGCACGATCTCGGCTCATTGCAACCTCCACCTCCCGAGTTCAGGCGATTCTTCTGCCTTAGCCTCCCGAGTAGCTGGGACTACAGGCATGTGCCACTACGCCCAGCTAATTTTTGTATTTTTAGTAGAGACGGGGTTTCACTATGTTGACCAAGATGATCACGATCTCTTGACCTCGTGATTCACTCGCCTCATTCTCCCAAAATGCTGGGATTACAGGTATGAGCCACAGCGACTGGCTTCCAACTCCAACCTACTTCTTAATCCCAGCTCTCATTCATGAATAGCACCTTCATCCATCCATCCCTCCCTCTTTCTCTCTTTCTTTCTTTTCTTTTTCTTTTGAGACAAGGTCTCACTTTGTTGCTCAGGAGGGAGTGCAATGGTGTGATCTTGGCTCAGTTGACTTCCTGGGCTCAAGCGATTGTCCTGCCTCTGCTTCCCAAGTAGCTGAGATTACTGGTGTGTGCCACCATGTTCAGCTAATTTTTTTTTTTTTTTTTTTGAGACGGAGAATTGCTCTGTCACCTAGGCTGTAGTGCAGTGCCATGATCTTGGCTCACTGCAACTTCTGCCTCCCAGGTTCAAGAGATTCTCCTGCCTCAGCCTTCCGAATAGCTGGGATTACAGGCGTGTGCTACCATGCCTGGCTAATTTTTTGTATTTTTAGTAGAGATGGGGTTTCACCGTGTTAGCCAGGATGGTCTTGATCTCCTGACCTCGTGATTCACCTGCCTGGCCCTCCCAAAGTGCTGGGTTTACAGAAGTGAGCCGCTGTGGCCAGCCATTTTTTTTAGTTTCTGTAGAGACAGGAGTCTTGCTATGTTGCCCAGGCTGGTCTGGAACTCCTGGCCTCAAGCCATCCTCCTGCCTTGGCCTTTCAAAGTGCTGGGATTATAGGCATGAGCCACTGTACCTGGTCAGCCTCTTATTTCTTGAATTGTCTCTCCCAACAAAAAATGAGTTTATCTGCTTTCAGAGTGACTTGAACTTCGACTTTTTACTACAATTCATTGTTCACATGACTGTTTAACATCTGACTTGTTCTTCCCTGTATTCCCGTCCCCCGCAAATAGCTGACTACAGTTGATACATGTTGAATGACTGTTATTGAACAACCTACCTAGATGCTCAGCTAAAAAACTGGGACTCTGTCTTGACTCCTCAATCTTCCTCACATCCCACATCCAATAAAAGCCTCCTCCTTTAACTTTCTAAACCTGTCTTGAATTTATTCTTTCCTCCACATCAACTACCACTATGCTAATCATGACCAAACTCTCAAATTTTAAAAATTAATACTCTTAAAACACACAGATTGGGACACATATCACCTTTTTTTTGTGCTTTTGAGACAGAGTCTTGTTCTGTTGCCCAGGCTGAGGTGCAGTGGCATGAACACGTCTTACTGAAGCCTTGACCTCTTGGGCTTGAGTGATCCTCCTGCCTCAGCTTCCTACATATTACTTTTTAAAAGTATTATTAGAAAAAAGAAAACAAACGTCTACTGCAATAGTTCTTTCTCATTAACCTGACTGATTCCTTTGAAAGGAAGGTTGTGACGCTATGAATTTTGTTTTGATTGTTGGAACGGGAAGCAAAGGTCTCCTGTGTATTGACTTAGGACTTTGCAGTTTCTGTCAAGTGACCCAGGGGAAATAGGAGTATGAATTTACTTGATCAGGAATGTTCTTGTCAGCCTTAAGAGAACATGCCAGGATATACTTTGTGTACCCTCACAAAAATATGCCCAGAGAAGGCCAGAGGTCAGAATACCATTCATTCCAACCTTCGATCTCATCTCCTCAAGGTTATGGTCGCCAAAAGGTATGCTGGGAACTCTCCAGAGGGCTAAGGGTGCAGTGAGTAATTGGATCAGGCAGGAATGAAGCTGGGGATAAAGGAACCAGCTAAGCCATGAAGCTGATCTCTGGTGAGATGATAAGTGAGTAAGCTGGTGTGGCAAACTGGTTTCAGCATGGTTGTCTCCACCCGGCAGGTAGTACCAGGGAGCTCAGAGCAGGATTCCAGGAATAGAGCCAGGAATTAAGGCAGCTGGCAGTGCCATGAGCCTATGCTCTTTTCGACTCAACACCAGCTGGTGCCATTCATGCCACCTTCCATGAATGAAACCAATGAGAAATGAAGTTCTCTGTTTGTAAGCCAAATAAGCAACGAAGCCACTTTTGAATCATTTTCTCAATCAGATCATTTTTTAAAAAAAGCCTTGTAGCCTTGTCTTTTCTAAATGCGTTATTTTAGTGGTTTGTGGAAAGTATTTATATTCTTGGGCTGTTTTTTGGGTCAAGATAGTAATAGGACTTCTATCTCAGGCAATGTGACAGATGAGATTGCTTGGAAAGCTTATTAACATAACACACTTAAAGATGCTGGGCAAAATATAACAAACATCTTTTGAACTCTTTAACTGACCTGTGTGTGGAGTGGCAAGGATTGGTAGAAGAAAAATCCCCAAGGATCCCCACCCCAACACACACACACAAAGAAGGAAAATAAAAAACAGAATTGTCACTAACTGATTCTTCATTTATCATTTTCCTTGGGGAGGACATTGATTGTCTCACAAACAAGAGTTGGAGAAGCGTCATAGGGCCTACCGGGCAGAGTTGGAACTGAGACCTCACCGTAAAGCTGGACCCTTCAGAGAGCCCCACCCTTAGTAAAGGTGTGATTAGAATCAGTTTACCCTTCAGCAGTGGGAGACAACTAGGAAGCTAGTCAGCTTCAATGTGGGGGAGAAAACCTTTCTCCTGAGAATTCTTAACCTTAGATGAGTCCTCAGGCTGGTCTGAGAAATGCTAAAGCAAGATGTTAACCATGAAGTTTACTGTTCTTGGGGGCCCAGAAAGATGTAAATGTTAAACACCTCTGAGTCGAACATCTTTGACTCCTATAATGGTCAAATTACATAACAATTAGGTAAGAAAAGATGTTTAAAATAAGTAAAAAAAAAAAAAAAGAAAAAAAAGCTTGTTCATGATAAACCCTCAGAAAACCAGGGAATAGTAGGAAATTTACTCAGTTTAGAGTAAATTGAGGATAACTATAAGAACCTACAGCCAGTACCATTCTTAAAAGGTGAAATAGAGAATGCATTCCTCTTATGATCAGGAGCAAGATAAGGATGTCAGCTCTTACCCCTTTTAGTCGACTCTGTACATACTAGAGTTTTTGCCAGTGCAATAAAGCAAGAAAAAGAAATAAAAGGTATAAATATTGAAAAGAAAAGAGTAGGTCTGCCTTTAGTAGCAGATGACATCATTGCATGCAGAGAAAACCCAAAGGATTTACAAACTACCAGAACTAATAATTCAGCAAGGGCATCAAATACAAGGTCAATATACAAAATCAATACTTCTATATATGTATCAGTTTCCAAGGTCTGCTTTAACAAGTTGTCACAAATTTCATGGTGTTTAGAAACACTAACTTACTATCTTAACAGTTGTTATTTATTTATTAATTTATTTTTTTGAGATGGAGTCTCACTCTGTCACCCAGGCTGGAGTGCAAGGGTGTGATCTTGGCTCATTGCAACCTCTGCTTCCTTGGTTCGAGTGATTCTCCTGCCTCAGCCTCCTGATTGGCTGGGATTATAGGTATGTACCACCATGCTAATTTTTATAATTTTTAGTAGCTAAGGGGTTTTACTATGTTGGCCAGGCTGGTCTCGAACTCCTGACCTCAAATGATCCTCCCGCCTTGGCCTCCCAAAGTGCTAAGATTACAGGTGTGAGCCACTGTGCCTGGTCTCTGTCTTACAGTTCATGAGATCAGAAGTCTGAAAGGGGTCTTGCTGGGCTAAAATCAAGGTGTTAGCAGGGCTGCCTTCATATCTGGAGGCTCTAGGAGAGAATCTCTGTTTTTTGCCTTTTCTGGTTTCTGGAGGCTGTCTCATAGTCCCCTTTCATGTTCAAAGGCAGTTCTCACATTGTGTGACTCTGATACTGTGACATTGACTGTGCTTTCTTCCACACTTAAGGACCCTTATGATTACGTTGGGCCCACCCAGATAATGCAGAATAATCTTTCTATTTTAAGGTTCGTTGATTAGCAACATTAATTCCATCTGCAATTTTAAATCCCCCTTGCCATATAATGTAACATATTGATAGGTTCTAGGGATTAGACATGGACATCTTTGGAGGTGGGCTTTTTCACCTATTACAATTTACTATCAGGTAGAAAATGAAATTTGAAAATGCTGTATGTAACAGTGTCACAAAATAAAATACCTATGAATAAATTTAATTTAAAATGTACAAAGCTGCTATACTGAAAACTAGAAAGTATTGTAGAAAAAAAATTTTTTTTAAAGATTTAAATTAATGGAGAGATAGATCATATTATTCGTGGATTGGAAAACTCAGTACTTTATGATGTCACTTCCTGAAAATATCTGTAGGTTCACTGCAATGCTAATCAAAATCTCAACATGTTTTTTTTGTAGAAATTGGCAAGCCAATTCTAAAATTTATGTTGCAGTGCAAAGGACCCCTAACTGCAAAGGCAATCTTGAAATCAGAACTTACTTTACCTGATTTCAAGATTTACTAGAAAGCTACAGCAGTAATTAAGCCAATGCGATAGTGACATAAGGATAGACGAGTAAATAGAGCAAAACACAGTCTTGAGATAGATCCACATACACATGGTCAATTGAATTGTGACAGACGTGCCAATGCAATTCAATGAGGAGAGGGAATTTTTTTTAACCAAAGGCTCTGGAGCAACTGGATAAACATATGGAAAATGGAATTAAAAGCAGGAGAAAGGATTAAAGATAAAATACAAAAAGACAAGGACAGCTTGGCTAGTGTTGGGGGAGTTGGAAGGGCTTGAATGGCAGAATGAAACAAGATCCACTGCGTTTCAGTGGGGCTTCCTTCTGCCAGTTTCGTAAAGCAGTATCCTCCATTCCCCTCCGCCGCTCTTTGGGCTGTAGGCTGGTGTGCTAAGCAGAATTCTAAGATGGTCCCCAAGATTCCCACCCCCTGGAGTACATGCTTTGTACAATTCTCTCCCCTTGAGTGTGGAGGAGACTGTTAATTTGATGGTGTAGTTATTATGGTGATTACCTTCCGTTACTTAAGACTCCATCGTAGGTGACTTGGAGAGGGGAAGGTTGGAAGTCAGAGGGACGTGCTCCACATTGCCTGGAGGAAAACAAACATGCATGTTGTGAAGTGCCTATGGGGTCCACACTGCAGGGAGCTGCAGGCAGCCTCTAGGAGCTGAGAGCAGTCCTCTGCAGACAGCTGGCAAGTAAACAGGGATCTCCTCCCTACAACCCTAGGCAATTGAATTCTGCCAACAATCTGAATGAGCTTGGAAGGGGACCCCAAACCTCAGATGAGATCCATAACCCCAGCCATCACCTTGACTGTGGCCTTGTGAGAGCTGAGCCAATGATGCAGCTAAGCTGTGCCCACACTCCTGGCCTATGGAAACTGAGATAATGGATTTCCATCATTTTAAGCCACTGATTTTGTGGTACTCTGTTACCCAGCAATAGAAAATGAATGCAGATAGCAGGTCTGTCCCAGCTGCAAATGCCATCCTGCACAGGACCAATTTCGATTTCTCTCTTCACACGTGCGTTAGGAATTGGTCTTCCCAGAACAGACAGCCAAGCTGTTTTGGACATGGTTAAAGTGGATAATACCCACCACGACTGAGGATATGAAAGGTCCATTTGGGGTGAAAGGAATTAATATTTCTCTGAGTCTTTGACCTATCCCCTTCTGGGATCCTCGATCTAATCAAACATTCCAAGTATAGTAGAAAGCCCAGATCCTTCTCACAGAGTGTACTGAGCTGAGCTTTCAAAACTGGGGTTCAGGGCTGACCTTTGGAGTACGGAAAACCAGGCATTTGCTATACTGGTCATACCTGTGGAGGAAACCTGCAGTAAGATGGTACCATGGATACTTGGGAGTTCATTCACAGCAGATAAATTCTGGTCCGTTTGCTGGGGGCATGGTGGCCAGTGGGAACCTGATCAGGCTGGACCTTCATGTCTCAGAATCTAGGCACTGTTGAATCTGACAGTTTGGGCATTTTAATATCTGCAGTAAGTTAACCTGGGAAAGCAGGGCGGATATGCAAAACCAGTTACAGCCTTTTCCTTTCCTCATTGCAGAATCAAAATTATAAGGGCCATGGATTGTCAAAGGGAAAAGAGCGGTGAGTGGTCCCATCCAATCCAACAATCACAGAGCAACCAACCTCCCTCCCTCCCTCCCTCCCTGTGTTTCTTCCCTCCCTCCCCTTTTCAATCCATCTCTCCCTTTTCTACTTTAATAATTATAATGAAAATGATGGTAGTAGTAGTAATCCTAAACCATTATTGAGCACTTACTATATGCCAGGCTCTGGGCCCGTCACTTTACCTGTATTAGTTCACCGAACCCTGACCACAGCACTTTGAAGTAGATTGTGTCCATTTTACAGATGGAGATACTGAAGCTCAAAAAGACTAAGTGACCTGCTCAAGATCACATGATCAGTTAGGGACAGAGCTTGTTGGACTCCAGGACCCACTGTCTAACTTTGGTCTCTCCTGCCTCCAACAACCCTGTGACGACTTGATGACTTGCATGTCAGCTGTGCTCTGATCATCTGCTTCACTCTGCATCGACAACGTGGATGCCGAACTCAGCACCCCTTTGGATCTCCTAAAGAGAATCCACTTGCGCAAAGCGGGAGTGAGCAATGTAGAGTTTATTGGAGATTCCTGTGGGGAGTTAGAGGCGTTCGTTTACATAGCAAATGTTATAAATAGTCTGTTCTCTAGTTCATTAGCTATTTCTCTTCTTTCTAAAATCCCTGCTGGCTGTGCCACCACTGAGGAGGGCATGTGTGATTTGGGACGCTTCTCTCATGCAGCGCTCGTCTTCTTTGCCTTCTTTCTCTCCATACTGACTATCCCACCCACTTCAAATCTCTCGTTCTCTTATGCAGTGCAACTCAGCAGTGTTTCAGATCCTGGCCCTAAACATATTTTCCCAGCCTAGCCCCCTCCCAACAAAACAAAGAGCACCCCACTTAACAGGCCTGTGTTAGGCTGTTTTTGCATTGCTATAAAGGAATACCTGAGACTTTTTATTTTTCTATATTTTTTGAGACAGTTTTGCTCTTTTTGACCAGGCGGGAGAGCAGTGGCATGATCTCGGCTCACTGCAACCTCCGCCTCCCGGGTTCAAGCAATTCTCCTGCTTCAGCTTCCCGAGTAGCTGGAATTACAGGTGTCGCCCACCATGCCTGGCTAATTGAGACTGAGTAGTTTATAAAGAAAAGAGGTGTAACTGGTTCATGGTTCTGCAGGCTTTACAGGCATGGCACCAGCACCTGCTCAGCTTCTGATGAGGCTTCAGGGAGCTTACAATCATGGTGGAAGGCAAAGGGGGAGCAGGCACTTTACATGGCAAGAGTCGGAACTAGTGGGAGGTCCCAGGCTCTTTTAAATAACCAGATCTCCCATGAACTGAGTGAAAACTCACTTATCACCGAGGGGATGTTGCCAAACCATTCATGAAGGATACATTCCCAGGATCTAATCACCTCCCACCAGGCCCCACCTCCAAAATTGAGAATCACATTTTAACTTGAGATTTGGAGGGGACAAACATCCAAACCATATCGAGGCTCCATATACTTATTTTATAGAGGCACACACACACACACACACACACACACACATTTATCATAAAATATTTTTTATTTATGTGCCTTATTAGGGGACACATAGATATTCGTTCCACTACCAGTAAGAGAAAACTCAGTAATAGCAGCTTAAACAAATTGTACTTATTTTCTTCACATTACAAAAAGTCTGGAGTGCTGGTACAGTGGTTCAGTAATGTCAGAGCCAGCGTCTTCATGATTGTCTTTTCTTTTCGAGGTGGGGTCTCACTCTGTTGCCCAAGCTGGAGTGCGGTGGTACGATCATGGCTGCTCACAGCAGCCTTCCTCTCCTGGGCTTACGCAGTCCTCTGATTTCAGCCTCCTGAGTAGCTGGGACAACAGGCTCATGCCAGTGTACCTGGCTAATTTTTAAAATTTATTTTTTGTAGTTTTGAGGTCTCCCTATGTTGCCCAGGCTGGTCTCCAACACCTGGCCTCAAGCGATCCTCCCCCCTCGGCCTCCCAAAGTGTTGGGATTACAGGCATGAGCCTGCATGATAGTCTTGAACTATTCCTCATGGAGACCAAATGGCCACTACAGCTCCAGTCTTCATGTCATGATCAAGACAGGAAGAGCGAGGGAAGACTCAAGCCACATCCCTCTCTTTCTTTCCTTTTTTGATCGAAAGAGCAAAATTTTCCCAGGAACTTAGCCTGCCTAGCAGTCTTATGCTTTTTCTTATTGATTAGAATTGTGTTACATGGCCAACCCCAACTGCATGGGTAGCCAGGAATACAAGTTATATAAGTGTCCTTGTACTGTGATTACTATTCTGCACCCTGCTTTTGTCACAAAGCTCTGAATGCATTGTAACTGCTACTGCTGCTTCATTGTGTATTGCTCGTTATTTATCCATCTTCCTGTTGAAAGGCACTTATGAAGTATTAGTTTCACCAGAAGCCGACCCTGAGGGAAGGAAGTAAGAGCAGATGGTTTATTTAGAAGGTGATTCCAGTGAGCACTGGCAGGGAAATGGGGAAGTAAGACAGCTAAGGAAGGAAACCAGTATAAGGTGCACCATCGACAGGTTATTGCTATGGGCAAGTGGGCTCAAGCCCCCGGGGAATTCCTGGGAGAACGTAGAATGCACTGTGGTCTTATCCTAAGTGTGAGATGGGAGACTTAGCAGATTTATCCACCGACTCCAGTCGTCACTGGTTGTATGGTGTTGGCAGAGGGGCAGTTCACTCTGGTGCTTCCCATCTGCTCCACATGCTAGCTGAGCAGACTCCGGGGCCAGGGAAAGCCCTCAGGTAGCGTGGCAGGTGCTGGCAGTGGAAAGCTGTTTGATTCCCATGCACAGGAGTGGTGAATGTCAAAGGGGTATGGGCGGACCACCAACAGTGCTTGCTACAGGTAATTCCTATAAAAAAATGAGCAATTACAGATAAGCATCCTTGCATGTGTTTCCTGGTAGAAATGCAGAGTACAAACCCACGGTATAGAGCTAGCATGGGCTGCTGAGTTTAGGGTACTGTATGTGCATATTCGACTTCACTAAAATAAAAGTCGGTGGCCCTCTAGAGTGCATTCCACCAGCGGAGAAGGAGTTTCCATTTTATCCCATTTTTGCCAAAACTTGGACCTTTAGATTTTTGCTGGTCTGATGTGCATGACGTAGTCCTTGATTGTTGTAATGTGCCAAATTGCTCTCCAAAGCGGTGTCCAACGTGCATTCCATCAGCATTGTAAGATAATTGTTATTTCTCCACATTCTTTTGAACACTTGTTATTTTTCTGATTTTTTTTTTTTTTTTGAGACGCAGTATCACATTGTTGCCTGGCCTGGAGTGCAGTGGCATGATCTCAGCTCACTGCAACCTCCACCTCCGAAGTTCAAGCAATTCTCCTGCCTCAGCATCCTGAGTAGCTGCGATTACGGGCGCCCACCACCATGCCCAGCTAATTTTTTGTATTTTTAGTGGAGATGGGGTTTCACCATGTTGGCCAGTCTGGTTTCAAACTCCTGACCTCGTGATTCATCCACCTTGGCCTCCCAAAGTGCTGGGATTACAGGTGAGAGCCACTACACCTGGTTTAAGCTGATACATTTAAAAAATACATATTAAATTATTTAAAAAGCAATAAAAGGCCAGGCACTGTGGCTCATGCCTGTAATCCCAGCACTTTGAGAGGCTGAGGTGGAAGGATCACAAGGTCAGAAGTTCGAGACCATCCTGGCCAACATGGTGAAACCCCATCTCTACCAAAAAATAAAAAAATTAGCTGGGCATGGTGGTGGGTGCATATAATCCCAGCTACTCAAGAGGCTCAGGTAGGAGAATCACTTGAATCCAGGAGGCAGAGGTTGCAGTGAGCTGAGATTGCACCACTACACTCCAGCCTGGTGACAGAGATAGACTCTGTCTCAAATAAATAAATAAAAATAAAAAGCAATAAAATATTACATGGTAGCATAAACTTATTTATTTATTTATTTATTTTTGGAGACATGGTCTTACTCTGTCACCCAGGCTGGAGTGCAGTAGAGTGATCTTGGCTCACTGCAACCTCCACCTCCCGGGTTCAAGTGGTTCTCCTGCCTCAGCCTCCAGAGTAGCTGGGATCACAGACTACCATGCCTGGCTCATTTTTGTATTTTTAGTAGAGATGGGGTTTCACTATGCTGGCCAGGCTGATCTCAAACTCCTGACCTCAAGTGATTTACCCACTTTGCCTTCCCAAAGTGCTGGGATTACAGGTGTGAGCCATTGTGCCCTGCCCAACATTTTTATGAGTTACAGTTATATCCCTCCCTAAAATGTACTGAGATGAGTAGTAGTTGTTTTACATTTTTGTGAATCTCTTTAACGCCTTGCTTATTAGAAAATATTTGAGTTTCCAGATCTTCTGTGTTCAATTTGTTTTGATAGATTGTTTTGGTCAAAGGATAGGAAGAAAATCCAGCCTTAGAAAGATAGGTAGTTGGAAAAGGGAAGACTTTGTGTACCCCTGAAAGAGAGTTGGGGACGCTGAGGAATACTTGAGCCCACACTTGACAACCTATGTCTCTAGGGGATTACAATATGCATCCTTACCTTATCACAGTCTACCTTGAAGCAAAATTATACCACTTCATGTACAACTACGAGCCCTACAATCACACACTTGTTTACTCCCCTCTGATCTTTTGTGCTGCTATTTTTGTCATATATTTACTTGTAAATATGTTAGAAACCTTACTTTACATTCTCACTATATTTGCTTTAAATAGCTGCTTATATGTGTGTTTTTTTTTTAATTAAGACATGGAAGAAAGTATTCCACATTTACCCCATTCGTCATTCCTTCTGAATTTCCATCTGGTATAATTTTCCTTCAGCCCGAGGAATGTTCTTTAGTGTTTCTTATAGTGCGGATCTGTTGGCAAAAAATTCTCTCAGCTTTTATTTATTTGAACATGTCTTTATTTCACTGTCATTTTTTAAGTAAAGTTTTACTGGATATAGAATTCTAAGTTGATCTTTTTTTCTTAAAGCACTTGAAAGATAATGTTCCT